AACTTCCAGAATCTGCTAAGATGTTTTAGCTGTCCTGACTTTTTTGCTTCTACGTCCACCCCTTAAAAACTTAGAGTGGGGTACTGGACCTTTCAGACCTACATTCGAGAGTCCAGTGCCCTTTCTTAGGGTACCTGAAGCATGAACCACTGACTGTTTCTCTGAAAGCACCCATTTAAGGCTGATCCAAAGATACAAACCGAAGAGTGAAACTTAGAAAATTCACAGTAGGTTTGAATATAATTGTTATCAGTATCAAATTATTATTGCAACAAATTAGCTTGCAAATGGAAGTTTAGTAGGCCTAAAAATCACACAAAAAGATTTTGCAAAACATTTCTTTGTAAAAAGTATTTCCCTTTCTTAAAAAAGCTTAGAGTTTATCCTGATGTTAAAAGGAATAATCACTAAACTTTCATGAAGTAAATTAGCAGGAAACCTTAAAGAGTGGAATTTATCAAAACCAGGTTGGTGTAAAATATCTTGTAAGTGTCACAAATCCCCAAAGTGCCATAAAACCAAAATTCTCAATAATCACAAATTCCTAAGTACCAAAAGTACCTTGGAAAATTTCAGTTTTTTCTAAGACAAAAACATACTCAATTAAGTTACCCTTATCACAATAACAAGGTTTACCAGGCCTTTAAAAATTTACTCTGCAGGAATTCCACTACAGAAGACTTTGTACAGGGTTGATAAGAAATTATGAAAAAAAAAAAGAAAAAAAAAGAAATTATGACTAGATAGTTTCAAAAACCTTTGTCTTAATTAACAACCTCATAATCTGACAGTACAATTCTTGATCTAACAACATCTAGATTATAAGAGAAATTGCTTTTCTAACAACACAGGTGATAAAATTGTTAACCAAATTACACAATACAAGAAAATTTAGAAATATAACCATATCACAAGCAATTATCATGTATTTAAAGCTTGACACAGAACCAGTTAATTACCAATCAGGTGAGCTTAAATTTAGTTGGGTGAGCAAATCTGATCTGGATTCATAATCACTAATAGTAACATTTTAATTTGTAAGGCCCAATACTCTTAGCACTTCAAAAGAAAAGATTATTAGCCATGAATGCACATTTTTTTTTCTGAAGACACATGGAAACAAATCCCAGCTCCAAATAATCTTTTCCTTCCTAGAGCTAGAGTTCCCAGGAGTCTTGGGATGTAGAGGGAAGGTAGTACTTGCAGTTTTCCCAATTCCCTAGTGCTGAGAGAAATGAAAGAATTGACAGAACTGGGCATATGCTTCCAGATAGGGAGTCCGTCCTCTATGCTGCTGAAGGTGTGCGCAGGTCCATGACTTCTAACCACAGGACCAAGAGTCTGAGAGGTGAGGCTGAGGGTGAGACAGCCTCTTAGCTGTCTGATCCATTAGGTCAAACGTGAGAGGTCAGGCCATCCTAGGTGCTTGGAGAGCCACCCCAACTACAGGGTGAGGAAAGGGATAGGGAGAGAGAGGAGGCTTACATGCCCTCCAGTCTCCACTGGAGAGGAGCTGTAATTTCTTGTGTCTTTTACCTTTGAGATTTATAAGATAAGCCTTAAGCATTCCAACTCTCTATTCCCATCCTCCTGGGAATTTTGAGCTGCATGTACTAGAAAAGGAGACCTTGAAAATAGGATGCAGGGACCCCCAAAGAAAACCGGGCACAATGGCCCACAGGACATGGAGACCCAGGAATGGGGCACAGAGACCCCCAAAGAAAACCAGGCACGAAGGCCCACAGGGCATGGACACCCTGAAATGGGACACAGGAATCCCCAAAGAAAACCAGGCAAGAAGGCCCACCTCCCCACCTCCCCAATGTCTCGAGAGGGTAGGGAAGGAACAACACAGGGTAAACCAAGGTGCAGGGGAATAAAAGTGTGCTCGAGCAGAGCAAGGTGCCTTTCTTTAAGTTTTGGAGACCAAATTTCTTACTAAGCTTGCCTTGTTTAGGAATTCCCTTTACAAATTATTTTTTCTAGATTAAATTCAGGTCAGGCTGCATTACAATGGAACACTAGGCACTTTTCTTTAAGATCTCCTTCCCTGAATTTCCCATCCTAGCAGGCTCTCGCTTGTCTTAGCATCCCAAGACACTTGAGAGGAAAAAAATGTGACCGATCCAGCTCAAGGGCATCCCCTTATACGAGGGTCAACAGTCCCACTGACTGCCAAGAGGCAAGTGGAGCTTCAGGCACCGCTGGCAGTATCTGGGCACTCCAGGGGTCTCTCAGCCAGGGAGAGGGTAGAAGCAGAAAAGGTCTGGGGAAGACAACAAAGAAAAGGGTGCTTACCTGTTATCCCAGTGGCCAGGAGAAGATCAGCAGAGTCCAAATAATATTTGGACTCCCGGGTTTTAGCACCATTTTATGTTGAGGTTTAGAGTTGGGAGAACTGGTTCAGGTGTGAAAGAATTCACTTAGACCTTCTCTGTAACCATTGGGAGCTTTATTTCATCAAAGCTTCATGGGCCTGAGGTTAGCAAGGAGCTAAACAAGGGCACCAATATAGGAGAAGACCCAGGCTTATACAGACAGAAAGCTGTACAGCCTACAGGACGATGGTGTATTTTTAGGGTTTCTTATGGGGGCTGGAGATTAGGGACAGGATAAGAACAAACAAGATGAGGAAGATAGTTGCTTACAAGATAAGGAAAAATTGTCGTGGCACAGGTTGAGGAAGATGAATGATAGGATAAGGAACACAGGGTAAGGGAAACAAAGGCAATTCTTTTGGTACAAGTTGTATGGCATTTCACTGTAAGGGGAAAAGGACTTAAGAAATTCTCAAGTTCCAGGATCTCAAGGTACAGGATGGGCTACAGAAGGAGCCTCAAACCCTCTCAGGGGCCTGGGAAAGTAACCCTTAATATATTTTTGTCCCCACATTAACACTACCACACTCCAGAGCAAACTCTCACCACCTTACACTTGGACCAATAATACCTGCTTGGTTTGCCTCTTTGCCTCTTCTCTACCTAATCTACTTCACCCTCCACTCAGCTGTCAGAGGTCTTCCTACAGCACATGTCAGACCATCAGCCTCTTATTCAGTCAATGAATCAGTTAACAAGCATTTTAAAGTACTTATTATATGCCAATCACTGTGTTAAGTGCTTGGGATACAAAGGAAAATCAATTCCTACCCTCAATTCTAATGGGAGACAACATGTAAATAGCCATATAGGTACAAAATATATACAAGGTAAAGGAGAAGTGATCTCAGAGGGAAGATGTAACTATTGTGATTTTGAAATGTATTGTGTCATGTTATTGTTATAAGTGATAGGACTCCAACCTGGAGTCACAGGGTAAGTGGTCCTAAGGACCATAAAACATTTAAGCAGTAGCAGACAGCCAGTACTTTCACAAGCCCTGACTTATTCTGATCCTGTGACTTACCTCAGCTCCTGCATGGACCCCCAGCTGACTGCATGGCTGTGTGCTGGCACCCACTCTCAGAGTTCCTGAGTCCCACATCAATAAGGGATCCTGGGGAACATCCCCACCACACTGGGGTCCGACTAAGAATGCCCTCTCTCACATGTTGTGCTGATTGTCCCAATCAAACCTCCCTTTAAGTGACAAGACTGACCTTCTCAAAGCCCATTCTGAGTGTGTACTCCCACCAAGATCTTGCTGCTTTACAAGTCTCCCTCATGTGAGTGCCCTGAATATCTGTCTGTCAATACAGGTTGTCATATAATGTGTGTGTGCTTGTGTGTGTGTGTGTGTGTGTGTGTGTTGCTTTCATTTTTGCCTCCTTGGTATACCACATGGTAATAAAGCTCATGCTTCACCTAGCTTCCCCAGTTATAATTTTCTATAAATCCTCAAACTGGGGTCCTTGCTCTGGAAGACCCTAGCAGTGAGAGGTGGGGGATAGGTGAGGAGGAAAGGCTAGATCTCTTGAAGAAGGTGGGATTAGAGCTGTCTCAAATTCCTTCAAGGAATTCCAGTCATGAGGATAGCCAGTGCAAGTCTTGGGAGGTAAAGAGCTGTATTTGAAGACAGCAAGGAGGTGATGCTGCTGGACTGTTGACTTTGTGGAGAGGAGCCTGGCCTCCTCCTACCTCTCTAATCTTTCCATGCTCCTCCACATTCTCTGCGCCTTTCATGATGCTTACATAAGATATTCCATTGAATCGGTTCATTTTCACTCCTCTTTCTGGCTTCCTTCAGGACTTGGTGCTAATCCCACCTTCTGCAAGAAGCCTCTCCCTGCCTCCCACACTGCCAGGGCCTTCCCTCTGGGGTCATCCCCAATCTCTCCTGTATGGATCTTCTTTGGGCACATCTGTTTGCATGCTATCTCCCACATTAAGCTGTAAACTCCTCAAGGGCAGGGACTGTGTTTACTTTTCTTTGTATGCACAGAGCTTGGTATAGTGCCTGGCACATAGTAGTTATGCAGTCAATGTTTCTTAACTTGACTTGACATTCTAATGGGGGAGGACAAAACAGAAAAGGTGGGGGAAGGAGGGGAAAGGGAGCTTGGGGGCAAAGCAGCTGGTGGGAGGTGGAAGAGACCAGGGAGTAAGCTGGAGGGCAAAGAAGCAGCATGGCAGAGGCTCCCCCTGAAAGGCACGATGAGCCTTAGAAAGAGGCTTGCACTGGGTGTCCCTCGCGTGGGGGAATTCAGGATCTGTGTCACCAATTTACATCTGTAAAGTAATAACTAACAATTAGCATTTGTATGGCCCTTTAAGGTTTACAGAGTCCATTATAAATTGTGTGTCATTTTATCCTTGCAATAACTCTGACGGATACATGCCATTATTATCCCTGTTTTACAGAGGAGGTAACTGAGGCAGAGGTCTATGTGACTAGCCCATGGTTACCCAGCTAGTAGATGAACATTGGTCTTGCCAGGTCTAGGTCCAGCAGTTATCCAGCTTATCATCCAGCTGGAGGAAATGGTCTTTAAATCTCATAATGCTATTAACCTGGTGCTCTTCTTCTGAAGTCTTCAGCCTTGTCTAATCTCTGGCTTTCAGCACTGGGGATGAGCATGCACCTGGCAACTGGGGTTACCTGGATCAGGTGGCTGCCCTGAGGTGGGTCCAGAAGAACATTGCCCACTTTGGAGGAGATCCTGGTTGTGTGACCATCTTTGGCTAGTCAGCAGGGGGGATAAGTGTTTCTTCACATGTAAGTGGTAAAGAAATGACCCCAGCCTGAAGGGGGCCTCTTGTAGCCAAAACTAGTTTCATGCACCTGAGTTTGTCTTACTCTTCTCTCATCCTCACCCCTCTCAGAACCATTGAGGCTGATGATTTCTTTCTCTAAGGCTGACACCTGCCCTTGACTTCTTTTGGAGGTCCCACTACACTCTCCTGCCCTAGTCCTGACTGATTAAGCCCTTCTTCCTTTTGCTTTACTGGAGATAGAAGATGTTATCCCTTTTTAAAGGCTTACTAACAATTTCAAGTAAGAGCAAAAGACATGTACAGGGTAGTGATGAAATAATTCAAGGCCCAATGGATCCCAGATTTCACCACGGAGGTTCACCTCTTCCTGACGCTTCTCAGAGCCTCTCTGCACCTTCCCAGGTGGCCTTTGTGACCAGCTGTGGCTGCAGATCTGCTCTCTCCAGTCTTTGATGATGACTCTCTGAAAACTTAGCATGGCTGGCCCTCATATGACAGACATAAAATCCATCAGGGGGCTTAGAGGCAAAGATCTTTTGCCTTGGTAGCCCTCCTCCCCCAGGAGTCTGCACGTCACTGACAGCCTCCAGGATGTGATAAGGCATGGGAGGAAGACTTCAGTGAAAGAATAATGCTAAAAAAGATAGCTGATGGGAAAATGGCAAATTCCCATGATATAGTGGGGAAAATTGTTGGATATGAAGTAGTTTGATCCACACAACAACCCTGGGCTTTCTCATAGTCAATAAACAAACAATAATCAATAAATAATGTGACCTTATGAGGAGGCAGGGCATAGGAACAGCATTGCTGGGTTATAGAGCACAGGCATCTTCTCATACCCTGTTACTGAACCACCCAGAGAGTCCTGGACCATGGCCAAGGCTACTTAGCCCTTTTTTCTATCTAGCTATCTTATAGACCTGGCTACACCCAAGGGCCCCAAGGCCAGGGTCCCAAAGAGTGGCCTCTGTTTGAGACTATCCTATATGCTTAGCTTAGGGGTGTGGCAGGGTAAATAACAATCCTGGCCTTCAGACTCCCAGTCTCCTCTGTCTCTGCTAAGCCGGGAGTGTCTGGGCCTCCCCATGACTCCTTCTTTTTCTCCTCTGATATGGTTTGTACCCCCAGGTTCTGTCCCCCATGTCCAAAGGCTTGTTCCACAGAGCAATCATGGAGAGCGGTGTGGCCATCCTCCCTGGCTTGATTTCTTCCAGCTCAGAAATGGTTATGAACGTAAGTTCCCTGTACTCTGTTCTTTGCAATCCCTCTTATCCTTCCTTAGGCTTATTAGCCTTCTAACCCCATGGCCCAGGCTACCATTGACTTTCCTGCTCACCTGGGCTATAAGAAGGTACACTGGAATGCCACTGAATGTTTAAGCTGAAAGTTACCATAGAGATCATCTAGTCCAACCAACTCATTTTACAGATGAGGAAACTGAGGCACAGAGAGGGAGGATTCAGTTGCTTGCTCTGCTTCTTCCTATGCCTGTGATTTTAGGTAAGGCATTTCCTTCTTGGGGCCTGAGTATCTTCCTCTGTAAAAGTGCATTCGATTAGATGGCTTGTAAAGCCCCTTCTAGCTCCCAGTTCTCCCCCGGAACAGCCGGAAGCAGTTTTTGAGGGGGCCCAGGGATAGGTTAGATGGAATGATCTGTGAAGTCTCTTCTACCTCTCTAGTTCACGCATTCTGTGACTTGTCCAAGGTCACACCATGAGTTGATGACTGAGCTGGGACCAGAATGGAGGTCTCTGAGCCAATGTCAGGGCTCTTTCAACATACCAGACTCCATCATGTGTCCTCTATGAATAGCTAGGTCTTTTCTCTCTTACAAAATGGTAAACCCTTTGGGAGAAGGGACTGTGTCCTTGTAACCTGCCCCTGACCATGCCTATCCCCAATGGCTGGCACTGAGTCCTGTACAGAGAAGGCTTGTGATTTGGGGACTCGCCCTGTTTGGGGGGTCAGATTCCAGCTTTGTCTCCTTTTCACTGCATCATCACCTATAGAAATGATCCTTTATTATGTTCCTGATGAATATGAAAGGATTCTTCTATGATGATACAGGCCAGGGGTTCTTCCATGAGAATATTAACCCTTTGTGGGTGCCTTTTTGCAGATCATTGCCAATCTGTCTGCTTGTGATGCACACAATTCTGCCTCCATGGTTCAGTGCCTTAGGAGCAAATCTGAGGAAGAGATCCTGGCCATTGTGAAGGTATGTAAGCTGAGAAGCAAGGATTCCAGTACCAACAAGAGCTGCCAAAGCAGCTCAGGGCAGGGCTGGGCACCCAGCCTTGATGCCCTTTCTTTCCATCATCTATTGGTGAGGATTGAGGGGAAGATCTTTGGAATGTCACTCTCTCAGTCTCCATTTCCCCCTACTAACTAGATGAACTTAAAGAATATTCCCACCTCCAATATTCTATGTCCAAAGGTCCCTTCTAGGTCTAATGTTTTGTTTTCTAGGACTTCTTCTACCTCCAGACATTCTGTGCTTTAAATTTCTTTTATGCTAAGGTTCCACCCCTTCCTCTCTGGACATGCTTTGTCCTAAGAATCCTTCCAGCATTCTGTGTTCTAAACATTTTAGGTTCAAAAGTTCTAAACTTTTTCATTCTTTTGTCTTACAACCCTTCCCACTCAAACATTTTCTGTTTTATAGAATCACAGCTTTAGAGCTGGAAGAATCCATTCTAATTTGATTCTAACATTCTGGGTTCCAACATTATATGTTCCCAGTTTTCTTCCACTGCTGATATTCTACTTTACAAGATTTTTTTTTCCAGCTGTAACATTTTTTGATATAACATTCTATAAGCTAAGGTATGAAGGATGCAGCTATGTGGTACAATGTTTATAGTGCAGAGAAAATTGACCTGAGTTCAAATCTAGCTTCAGAGACTAGCTTTCATTTAACTTGTTTGCCTCAGTTTCCTTATTCATAAAATGGGCATAATAATAACACCTACCTCCCAGGCTTCTTGTGAAAATCAGCCAATAATAATTATAAAGTGCTTATTAGCACAGTGCCTGGCAGATAGAGCTAAATAAATGTTAGTGGTAATGATGATGATAATGATAATGATGGTGATGATGATGGTGATGATGATGGTGTTGGTGTTGGTGCTGGTGTTAGAAGTGGTAGTCCCTTCCAACTTCAATTTTCTGTTCTTTGTCACCTTCCAGATCCAACACCCTATGAGTCTTTAGAAGAAAGGGTCTCGCTGTGGGAAGACTCTCTCTATCTCCTGGGATTAATAGCTTTCATCTAAAAATTCCTTTTCTTAAAAATACATTTCATGTATATTTCTCATTTCAATAATTTTGTGACAATCATGTGCCATTGGTGTGCCAGTATGATGTCATTACCAGACTTGAAGGGAAACAGCGAGAGGTCATGGAGCTATTGGCTTTTCTATTTGTATCCCCAGAGCCTAGGACTGTTTGGGGATTGATGTGTTGGCTGGTTATTTTACAAAAGAGAAAACTGAGTCCCAGAGGGGTTAAGTGACTTTGCCAAATGTCGCACAGCTTGCAAATATCAAGACAGTTACATGACCCCAGATCTTTAGAACCAAGATCTTTATTCATCGCATCACATTGCTTCCTAAAGAATTAACTTAGTAGTAAATGTTAGAGCCAGATTAAGTGTTAAACCAGATCTACTTGCTTCTAATTGTTCAGTCACTTTTCAGTGGAGTCCAACTCTTGATGACTGCATTTGGGGTTTTCTTGACAAAGATGCTAGAGTGCTTTGCCTTTTCCTTCTCCAGCTTATTAAGGAAGTGCAGCCAACAGGGTTAAATGACTTGCCCAGGGTCACATAGCTGCTAAGTGTCTGAGGCCAGATTTGAATTTAGTAAGGTGAGTCTCTCTGACTCCAAGCCCAGCATTCTATCTACTGCACCACCTAGCTGCCTCTGCATCTAATTACTCTTTCCATTATGCCATGTTGACTCTCCTTCCTTCATTCTGAAAACTATTGTTTTTCAACCTGATTTGATGACGGTTTCCTCGTCTGGAAAATGAGAGGGTTGGACCAGATGATCTTCTGGAGTGCCTTCCAGCTCTAAATCTACAACCTTATGAATATCCTTTCCAAAGCACCTGGGAGCTCGAGTTTCATTTTGGCCACAGCGGATGCCAAGGGGATGGGAGAAGAAAGGATTCCTGACTTTCAGGCAAACCCAAGCCTGGTATTCAGATAACGAACAGTTTGGTGCCTCCATGCCTTTCCTGCCTTGTCTTATATTACCTCTCCATGTGCACTCTATGCTCCAGCCAAACTCATTTGTCCTCAGTCTTCTAAATGTTCCCTATACTCTCTTACCTGTGTGCCTTTGTTCAGCTGTGTCTCATGTCTGTAAAGTCCTCCCTTCTTATTTTCATACTGGTTTATAAAGTGCCTTTCTCATAACAATAATTGAGGTAGGGAGTGTAAGAATCATTATTCCAGTTTTATAGATAGGTAAACCTCTGAGCAGGTCTCAGTAAAAGAGAACTGGACCTGGAATCAGAAAGACCTAACTTCATAACTAGCAGGAGACACCCACTAGCTGTGTGACTTTAGGCAAATCACTTAATCTCTGTTTACCTTAATTTACAAGAGGAGGAAATGATGAACCATTCCATTATGTTTGCCACGGAAACCCTGTGGATAATATGGGTGTGCTATGGTCCATGGGGTGATGAAGAGTCAGACACAACTGAACAACAACAACAAACCTCCATGGAGCCTAGAGGCAGTGACTTCTCCACTTCTCCACCATCACACAGTCAGTAAGCATTAGAGCTGGGATTCAAGTCCAGGTGTCTCCCAATTTTCAATCCAGTCTTCCTTCCTCCCCCACCTGCTGCTCTCATAGTCCCCCTTTGTCTGTTGAATTCTTCCACGTTTGTTAAAGCCCAATTCCAATGCCCCCTTTTACGGAGCTTTGTGGGAAAAGAGCTTGACAATAATTTAGTCCAATGCACTCATTTTGTAGGGGAGGAAATTGAAACCAGAGAGATGTCATTTGCTTAAAGTTACAGAGTCCATTAGTGGCTGAGCCAGGACTAGAATCCAGATCTATTGACTTGGAGGCCAGGGCTCTCCTGCTGTTCATTCCAGAAGCATTTCTGGAGCAGCTTCTGTGTCCGGCCTGGGGGACACAAAGTTTAAATAACGGAAATGGGCCATGATTGAACTCCCCTTCTTGGGGGGGGAGGGGCTTTGTGCCATACACAGGTAATAGAACCTAAGTCCATAACTGGAGTCACAAGCACATGTAGTGGGAACTCCCAGAAAGAAAAGGGTCCTTCTGGCTGTCATATCAGAGAAGGCTTTGTGGAAGATGTGGCAGTTAAATTGGCTCTTTAAGCAACTGAAGAAATTCAACATGTAACAATGAGGGACGGGTCATTCTAGCAATGTGGACCAAAGTGAACCAAGGCAGAAAGTTAGGAAAAGGTGGTTGACTTTCAGGGGAGATCTGGGAATCCATTGTTAGTGAAATCAAATGTACTTTGCACAGGTCAGAGTCCACATAGTATGAGATAAGGCTAGAAAGGTAGAAGAGAGGGCTCTAAATGCCAGACTGAAGTGTTAGAGGTTTTCTTTGGATAATGGGAAGTCATGGGAATTTTTTTTAATGCAGTGGAGTGTCATGAGCAGATCTGAGATAGGGAAGATATGTGTGTGTGTGTGTGTGTGTGATAAATTGGAGAGGGTAACAGAGAGGCCAGTTTGGACTGTTGCAAGACTCCAGATAAGTGGGAACGGCTAGGTGATACAATGGCTAGAGCACTGACCCTGGAGTCAGGAGGGCCTGAGTTCAAATCTGGCCTCAGTTACTTACTACTTATGTGACCCCGAGCACATCACTTAACCCTGATTGCCTCCAAAAAAAAAAAAAGAGCTCAGGTAAGTTGTAAAAGCTGTCTGAAATAGGATGGTCACAGCGAAAATGATGAGAAATAATACATTGGAAGGAGATGGTGGAGACAGACATGCCTTTGCTTTTTCTTTCTGCTTTCTTTAGCATTTTTGGATATTCTCTGGTGTAGTTGATGGGCAGTTCCTCCCCAAACATCCTGAAGAGTTGCTGGCTGCAGGCGAGTTCCACCACATCCCTTCCATCATTGGTGTCAACAACCATGAATATGGCTGGAATCTTCCTGTGGTAAGATTCTAGCATATTTTATTCCATGCCAGCTTCTTTCTGATCTCAACAGTTTATGCTGCTCTAAAGAATCACAGACTTTCTGAATTGGTCAGGAGCATGGTGGCCATGGAGTCTAAGCCAGAGTTGAAGGGGAATCCTTTCTGTAACTCACTGGGCAAATGGCCATCCAGCCTCTGCTTGAAGACCTCCAAGGAGAGAAAACCTCCTTCCTCCTCAGGCAGCTCATTCCACCTTTAGGCAGCTCTCAGGCTTGGACAGGGCACCATGACAGCAAGTGGAAATTTACTTCTTTTTAAACTTCTACCTGTTGTTCCCAGCTCTGCCCTGAGGGCAAATGACCCCAATTAAATCCTCTTCCAGGTGACCATCCACCAGATAATTATAGACAGCTATCATATCTGTCCCTGCCCTAAATTTTTTCTTTGACCAGCAAAGCAAGTTCCTACAATCCATCTCTATATGGAAAGACCATGACCCCCTTCTCAGCTTCTCTATTTTCTGCCTCAGATGTGATGCCCAGAACTGAACCAAAGATTCCAGATATACAGTTATTCCTTCCACATTGAGGAGGGTTAGGGGTATAACACCCCCACAATCTGGAAAATCCATGTAAAACCTTTTGGCCCCCCTGCACTTCATACCAGAGAAGAAGACAGAATTTTTATGGTATTAAAGGATAACATATATTGATATGATACAAAACAATACATATATTTTATGTATTTCAGAGTTACTAAACTCTTTTTTGTGTCTACTTTTGGCCTTTGCCTCTCATCTGTAGCTTCCACAAAACTCCCAAAAAATTCCCGTTTAATTTCTTACGCCTACCCGCAGTGCATCAGAACCATGATGATGACAGTCATGATGTAGAAGGCATAACTGTATCCTCCCCAGGGGCAGAGCACCTCCTTATTCTTGGAAGCTGTGCCTCTCAACATAGTCAACGTCACATTGCTCTTTAGGTTGTCATATTACCCTCTTGTCTCCTTATGGGCCTGTGGTTCAACAAAATCCCTGGAGTTTTTTCAATTAAATTGCCACATAACCATGCCTCCCTCATCTTGAGATTGTAAGGTCAACTAAAAAGATTCCAAGTGTAAGACTTTGTCCCCATTAAATTTGATCCTTGTGACTGTGGTCAGTCCAATATTCTAGCCTGTGCAGTCCTTTTTTGGATCCTGACTCCATGATCCAGTATGTTAGCGGGCCTTCCTGACTTTGTGTCATGTGTAAATTTGCCTTTCATAAAATCAGAAAAGTTACCCAGAACAGGCTTCCTGGAAAAATCAGAAGTGATTCAACCTTTGGTTATTTTCTCTATGAATGACTCATTTCATTTGCAAATCTGTTCAGAAGTATAGAAGAGAAGCCCATGCCAGGTTAGTTCCACTTTGGTTAAAACATCCTCTACAAGTCTCTTTATTTTGTTTCTGGTTTTTTTTGTTTGTTTGTTTGTTTGTTTTTAATTTTTAAATATTTGGAGTCAATCAAGGTTAAGTTACTTGCCCAGGGTAACACATCTAGTAATGTCTGAGGTCCTCCTGACTCCTGGTCCTGTGCTCTGTCCTATATGTCACCTAGTTGCCTCATATCTCTTTATTTAGAAGAAATGTGAATAATGGCACTCTAAATGAACAGAGAATAATAGCACTTTAAAGTTTACACAAAACTGCTTTCATAGTGGTTGCTGTGATGGTCATCACACTAAGATTTTTATCCTCATTTTGTAAAGTAGAGAATTGAGGCTCCCAGAAAGGACATGATTTAACCCCACTCATGTAGCTGGGACTAGAACCTGGGCCTCCTGATGGGAGACTAGGTCTCTTTCCTATAGACTTCAGGTCAGAATATCTAAAGGCCATTGGGTCAATATTGATTTTAAATGTCACATGATATCAACAACTGTTTGTCAGCTGCCTCCTTAAGCATATGCGCGTAAAGTTAGTCTATTTACACTAGTCAGAAAAACAGAATTTTCCTGCATCATTTCTAGCACAATGTATCATAGTAAGCATCAGTCATTGTCTAAGGCCTCTGATCATTATAAAAAAGCCATGACCACTGTTTATTATGTACTGGGCATTACCCACCATTTAGCTGGCCATTTTTCAAAATATCTTGAGAATTATTCAGTGTGTATTGGGCATTATTGAGTAATTCCTAAACAAATCTATGGCACTAGTTCCTTCTTAAAGGGTAAAATGACTTTCTTGAATTAGATTTGTTTTAAAAATGCATAAATTTGTAAAGTTCTACAGACCATTCACAGTGTGCCATTTTTCCCTACACAGGGATCAAACATTGCTGGATTTAAGGGGAAAATGCATAAAGAAACAATCCAATCTACGTTGAAAAGTCCATTTTTGGTGAGATACCAGTTAATTAAGTTTTTTTTTTTTTATAAGCACCTACTACATAGCAGGCACTGGGCTACTTATAGGGACAAAGTGAAATAATCCCTGCCCCCAAGGAATTGACATCCCATGAGGGAGATAACCTGCACATACACAGATAGATGGAAAACCTACACAAGGCAAATCTTGGGGGAAGGGGAAGGCACTAGCAGCTGGAGGAGGGAGGAACCAAGAAAGATGTTCTATGGAAGGTGCTATTTGAGCTGAGGCTTGCCAATGTAAAGGCACGGGGATGAGAGATGGAATGGGAAGTGGTTGGTATAACTGGCTCATAGAGTGTGAGGAGGATAATAATGTATAGTAAGACTGGATGGGACTGTGTTGCTAAAAGCTATAAATATCAAACAGAAAAGTTTATATTTAATCCTAGAGGTAATGGGCATCCACTCGAATTTATTTAGTTGGGGGAGGGGAGTAAAATGGCCAGACCCGTGCTTGAAAAATCACTTTGGAAGATGAGTGGAGGATAGATGGGAGTGGGGCGAGATCTGAGGCAAAGAGACCAATCAGGAGGCCATGGAAATAGTCTAGAAGAATATGAGAAGAAAAAGAAGTTAAAGGAATGGGAATAGGCAAAAGAGAAACAAAGCTATCACTCTTTGTAGATGATATGATGATATACTTAGAGAATCAAATAAGAAATTCTGGGAAATAACAAACAAATTTAGCAAAGCTGCAGGGTATAAAAGCAACCCACATAAATCATGGGCATTTCTATATATTACTAACAAAGCCTAACAGTAACAAATAGAAAGAGAAATTCCATTTAAAGTTACTGTAGACATTATAAAATATTTGGGAGTCTACCTGCCAAAACAAACTTGGGGATTCTATGAACATAATTACAAAACACTTTTCACACAAATCTAGTCAGATCTAAATAATTGGAAAAATATCAGTTGCTCATGGGTAGGCCAAGCTAATAGAATAAAAATGACAATTCTACCTAAATTAATTTACTTATTCAGTGTTATACCAATCAAACTACCAAAGAAATTATTTTGTAGAGCTTGGAAAAAAGACAATAACAAAATTCATCTGGAAGAACAAAGGTCCAGAATATCAAGGGAATTAATGAAAAGAAAGGAAAGGAAGGTGGCCTAGCTATACCAGACCTTAAATTGTATTATAAAGCAGCACTAATCAAAACTACTTTGTACTGGCTAAGAAATAGAGTGATGAATCAGTGGAATAGGTTAGGTATGCAAGACACAACAGTCAATGACTACTATTTGATAAATGCAAAGACTCCATTTTCTGGCACAAGACTAACAAAAACTGCTGGGAAAACTGGAAAATGTTATGGCAGAAACTAGGCATAGACCAAAATACTACACTTTATACCAAGATAAAGTCAAAATAGGTACACGATTTAAATATAAAGACTGATACTATAAGCAAACTGGAAGAGCAAGGAATAGTTTACCTGTCAGATCTATGGAGAAGGGAAGAATTTATGACCAAACAAGAGACAGAGAACATTATGAAATGCAAAATGGCTGACTTTTATTACATTAAATTGAAATGTTTTTGTGCAAACAAAGCCAATACAACCAAGATTAGAAGGGAAGCAGAAAGCTGGGAAACAATTTTTACAGCCAGTGTCTCTGAGAAGGGCCTCATTTCTAAAATGTATAGAGTACTGGATCAAATTTATAGGAATACAAGCCATTCTTCAATTGATAAATGGTCAAAGGATATGAACAGGCAGTTTTCAGATGAAGTTAAAGCTATCTATAGTCATATAAAAAATGCTCTAAATCACTATCGATTAGAGAAATGCAAATTAAAACAACTCTGAAGTACCACATCATGACTATCAGATTGGTTAACATGTTAAAACAAGAAAATGATAAATGTTGGTGAAGATATGGGGAAATTGGAACACTAAAGCATTGTTGGTGGAGTTGTGAACAGATCCAACCATTCTGGAGAGCAATTTGGAACTATGCCCAAAAGGCTATAAAGCTGTGCATACCCTTTGATCCAGCAATACCACTTCTAGGTCTCTATCCCAAAGAGATTATAAAAATGGGTAAAGGACCCACATGTACAAAAATATTTATAGCAGCTTTTTTCGTGGTGGCCAAGAATTGGAAATTGAGGGGATGCCCATCAATTAGGTAATACCTGAACAAGCTGTGGTATATAAGTGTAATGAAATACTATTGTGCTCTAAGAAATGATGAGCAGACAGACTTCAGAAAAACATGGAAAGACTTGTATGAACTGATGCTAAGTGAAGTGAGCAGAACCAGGAGAACATTGTACACAGTAACAGCCATGTTCTATGATGATTAACTTTGATAGACTTAGGTCTTCTTAGAAATGCCAGGATCTAAGACAATTCTAAAATACTTATGATGGAAAAAACTATTCACATCCAGAGAAAGAACTATGGAATCTGAATGCAGATGGAAGTGTACTATTTGCTCTCCTTTCCTCTTGTTGTTTTCTTTTGCGTCTTCTATCTTGTGCTTCCTCCCATTAGCTCTAATTCTTCTTTACATCATGACAAATGTGAACATATGCTTAATATGAATGTATAAGTAGACCCTATATCAGAATGCACACTGTCTTGGGGAAAGGAGAGGAGAGGGATGAGAAGAAAATTTAAAACTCAAAATATTATGAAAGTGAATGTTGAAAACTAAAAATAAATGAATTAATAATGAAAAAAGAAGATAAAAAATCTAGGAGAGAGCCAATGAAGGTCCTTCCACCTTCTGACTTTCTTCTTTCATAGTCACAAAATCAAAGGGAACTTGGAGACCCCATATAGCTCTGTCCTTTCATTGAGCCCCATATACCTTCCACACCATGCCCAACAACTAGTTGTCTTGTATCTTCTTAAGGAATTTAACCCTTAAAGAGTAGGCCCTGGTGGGGAGGTGGTAAAGGGATCTAATAAGACCCAGGACCTATGAAGAGCAGGCAAACTTGGTTGGGCTTATTCCTTGGGGTTGTTTAGTTGATGAGTTACTTCCGACTCTTCCTGATCCCATTTGGGGTTCTTGGCAAAGATACTGGAGTAGTTTGCCATTTCCTTCTCCAGCTCATTTTATAAATGAGGAACTGAGACAAAGTTAAGGGACTTGCCCAGGGCCACATAGCTAGTACGTGTCAAAGGCTAGATTTGAATGCAGGTAGGTCTAGTACTTTAACCACTGAGTTACCTAGCTCCCTTACTTACTCCATACAATCCACCAACAAACATCCCCAAATGATCCACTGCAAGGTATCTTCATTTTTCTGTTTCTCTCTCTCTTCCTGGGTCTCCTATAGGGTCTTTCTCCTGAGTTTGGGCATTTGATGATGGAAGAATATTTAAGAGACACTGAGGACCCGGGAGAATTTCGAGCTCAATTCCAGGATATGATGGGGGATTTCCTCTGTTATTCCTTCCCTCAAAGTGGCCAAATATCAACACAGTGAGTACAGCATTGACCCTTTCCAGAACCAGTGTAAGAATGGCTCCTCTCTGGGGCAATGTGTGAATGTTACCCACACCCTCATGCAGAAGGGTTTCCTGCATCTGGCTCTGCTATCAAAGCCTCCAGACTGGATAAACCCCCCTCGTTCACCTTCCTTCTTCTTCCCTCCTACCCCCAACAAACCCCAGCCCGGGTGAACTCAATAAGTATTCTCTACAACAACAAAGAATAATAATAAATAATAATAAGCCACATTTCTGTGAGCAGATGCTCTTAACTTTTTTCTGCCTATGCATCATGGACCCCTTTGGCAGTCCAGGGAAAGTTATAGACCCTTTCCAGAGTAATGTTTTTCAATGTATAAAATAAAATACATAGAATAGAAAACCAGTTAGATTGAAATAGAGTTATCAAATTGCTCAACTAAAAATCAATTCAAGAGCCCCTGCTAGGGGGTTTTATTATTACCAAACATTTTACATTGATTATTCCACAGATCCTCATAACAACCTAATTCCAGTGGATAGGACATGGATCCGAAATCAGGAGGACATGAATTCAAATCCAAACCAAGACACCTTTTAGCTGTGTGATCCTGAGCAACTCATTTATCCTCTGTTTGTCTCAGTTTCCTCAACTATAAAATGGGAATAATAATAGCATCTCCATCCCAGGGCTGTTGAGAGACTTCTGTGAGATACTATTTGTAAAGCACTTTGCACAGCATCTGGCACAAAGTAAGTGCTGTGTAAATGCTTATTCACAGGGCAGCTAGGTGGCACAGTGGATACAGTGCTGGGCCTGGAGTCAGGCTTCCTGAGTTGAAATCTGACCTCAAACACTTACTAGCTGTGTGACCTTGGGCAAGTCACTTCACCCTGTTTGCCTCAGTTTCCTCATCTGTAAAACGAGCTAGAGAAGGAAATGGTGAACTACTCCTGCATCTTTGCCAAGAAAACCCCAAATGGGATCACGCAGAGTTGAATATGATTGAAAAACAACTGAACAACAAATCCTTCTCTTCTCCTCACCATCCCGTGGGGCAGACAGCCCAGAGATTATTACCTCCACTTTACAGTTGAAAAATCAGCCTCAGAGAAGTGAAAGGATTCCCCTAAGGCCCTGTAGTCAGTCAACGACAGGGCCAAGATTCCAAGCTAGGTCCTGTTACTGTTACGCCAGACCCTAGTACTTGTCCTGCCTTACAGCATCAATCTCAGACAGTATTTGGATTTTTTATTTATTTTCAGTTTTCAGGATTCGTTTCTGTAAGATCTTAAGTTCTAAATTTTCTCACACTTTCTCCGCTCCCCCTTCCCCAAGATGGTGAGCCATCTGATATAGGCTATACATGTACAATCATATTAAACATATTTCCACATTACTCATGCTGTGAAGAAGTTAGAACAAAAGGAAAAAAACCACAAGAAAGAAGAAAAAATACGGAGAGAGAAAGAGAGACAGAGCAAATAGTGTGCTTTGATCTGCATTCAGACTGTGTAGCTCTTACTCTGGATGTGGATAGCATTTTCCATCATGAATCAGACAGTATTTGTTAAGGGCTGCCCTCAAGGAGTTTGCCTGTTAATGGCAAGCTACTCTTGCCCCCCTAACACACACTCTGAAGGAGGGAATCAGGCCAGGGGCCCCTGGCACGTGACCCTGCCCTGTGTTCAATATGTCAGTAACTGTGGACATTTCTTATGTTTGCCTAGGTCCCAGCTCTCCAGTCTATGTTTGTGAATTTCAGCACCGACCAAGCGTACTTAAGGATGCCAAACCGGATTTCGTGAAGGCAGACCATGGCGATGAAATACATTTTGTCTTTGGACTACCTTGTAAGCAGTGGAGATGGGTTGGAAAGGGAAGCTGTGGGCCAGGGTGGGGGCCAGAGACAGCAGAATCCTTGGGGCTCTGACCTCCTTTCTCCATCACCTACCTTACTCTCTCTGACATCAAAATGAACAATAATGTCTTACCTTTCCACAAAGCACCTTCCCGTACATCAGCTCATTTCATAATGATAATAACAATAGCTAAAATTAGCTAACATTTATATACTGCTTGAAGACTTATGAAGAGCTTTGTATATGCCATTCTCATTTGATACTCTCAAAAAAGCCATGTAAAATAGGTGCTGGTGCTGTCCCCGTTTTATAGATGAAGAAACTGAGGCTGACAAAAATGACTCTTGGCTAGCCAAGAGTCGCAGAGCTAGTTAAGGGTCTGAGTCAGGATCTGAACTCTTGCTTTCATGGTTCCATGTTCAGCACTCAGCCCACCTATCATCTAGCTGCTATTTGATCTTCCCAAATACCCTGTGAGGGTCAGGGTGGGGTGGAACGGAGGGATTGTGTCTATTGTACAGAAGAGGAAACTGAAGTTCAGAGTGAGGAACAGACTTATCTAATATCACAGAGTTAGCAGGTGTGAGCCCAAATCCAGGGTTCTTTCTGCCCTTCCAGGTTCCCTTAGGAGGCACTGAACAGGGGCCCAGCCGCCTGAGAAGAGTTCTTGGTTTTATTTATTTCTCTTTTTATTTGTAGCTCCAACCCTTGGCACAGTGCCAGGAACAGAGGAGGCAGTTAATAATTAACTGGTTCACTGAGTGATTAGAGACTAAGGTGTCAGGCTTGGAAGTCTCCCAACTCAGTCTGCTTGTTCAGGTGAACTGAATCAGGAGGTGGATTCAGCTATTCAGTTCAATTCAGTTTATATGATTAAGTACATCCAGCAAACAGAGCCTCTGTTCATCTCTGAGGAAGACACAAAGATAAATAAGACACAGTCTCTGACTTCTTGGAGTTTACTACCCAGAAGGGAAGATGAGGCACAAATGCAAAAAACACATTTCCATATGTCAATGGACCAGTGACCTCCCCAATACCTTCATCCTTCTCTTCCGGGTAGATCCTGTTATACCATGTCATCCTGTGTGATTCTTGTCCTTCTATAAATCCTGCACTGAAGATCTGCCCAACATGCTGGAAGCCTTCCCTCCCTCCCTTCTTCCCTTCTTTACTCCCTCCCTCTCTCCCTTCTTTCCTTCCTTCTATCTTCCCTCCCTTCTTTCCCTCTCTCCCTTCCTTCCCTTCTTCCTCCTTTTCTCCAGTTATGCTTTTTTTTTCTTTTTTTAGGCAATTGGGGTTAAGTGACTTGGCCAGAGTCACACAGCTACTAACTGTCAAGTGTTTGGTCTGAGGCCGGATTTGAACTCAGGTCCTCCTGACTCCAGGGCCAGTGCTCTATCCACTGCGCCACTAAGCTGCCCATGGTTATTCTTGATTCACTTTCTCTACCAGTACATCCATTTGGGGATTGCTGGACAAAAGTCTTACATTTAACAATCTTTGGAGTTAATGGTATAGATGGTCCCAAATCTGTGTTTTTGGAAGTCTTCTCTCCCTATTTTCACTTTTTTGCTCCTCTCCTGGCAGAACTGGAAGGCCAGTTTATCCATTTATCTGTTTCATGACTTGCATGGCCAATGAGTTCATCATCTTATGACTTAGCTGCAGCTGCTGAGCCTGTCTGCACTGCCCCAGGCAGGGGTCCTTAATGGCAGCATTGTCTGGGGAAGGGGCCATATGCAAAGGCTTTGCAGTTACTAGAGCTTGTGCTCTGCTGTTGTAGCTTAGAATAATAATTGTAATTATTATAAATTACATTTATAATAATCATGTCATTATTATAATTACATAGGATAAAATATGTTATTGTATAATAATATAACACAACATGCAATTTATATATAATACTTTTCTTTACTATGTATTAAAATAAGTATATAATAATATTAATATAATTTAATAATGATAGGTAGCATTTATGCAACACTTTTGTAAGTATGTAAACTGTTCTGTAAATATCTCTTCTTTTGTTTACTGTCCCAACAATCCTGGGACACAGATGTGTTATTATTATCCCCATGTTTTGAACAAAGAAACAAAGGCAGACAGAGGTTAAGTGACTTGCCCAGGGTCACTCTTCTAGTCAACATCTCAGCCTAGATTAGAACTCGAGTCTTCCTGATTTCCAGTCCAGCTGCACCACTTTGTTTTTGGTAGAGACACAGTTATGGAGTCAGACAGATGAGGCCAACAGAAGCCCTGGGATGTCTTCTAGAAGGGGAGTGACATGATGGAAACTGTGCAAGGAAGATCAGTTCAGGGGCCAGAGCAGGACTGACTGGGTGGGTGGGGCTGGAGACTGGAGGAAAGGAGGCCTTTGGGTCTGCATTTTGGCCTTAACCAAGATCTTTCTTTTTCTGTTCCTAGATTTAGGCGAGGCAACAGAAGAGGAAAAACTCCTGAGCCACAGGATAATGAGCTACTGGGCAAACTTTGCCCGTCACGGGTAAGAAAACTGCCCCTTGGTTTCCCCATGGTTTCCCTGTGGGGTAGTGCCTGTTAATAGGCACATAAAGGTTTCCCACTTTAACAGAAGTTCCCTGATTGAAATTTGTACAGGAAAAAAAAAGTTAATTCAACACAGAGGTAAGGTCTGGTGAACAAGTATAGCCCTTCCCCAAGTTTATGGCCAGCATTGGGGGAGGCATTACTCAGGCACACTCACCCTACACATGGGCATCTTGAAAGGAATGCAAGAAAGATCAGCACCTCTCCTGGCCCACACCACTGCCCTCTAGGCTCAGTGACTTCTCTTCTGCCTTGGGAACCATTAGGACAGGTGGCAGTGGATATGGAGTCCAGTGATGTTGTGTTTGATTCTTGGTGACCCCATCTGGAGTTTTCTTGGCAGAGATACTGGAGTGGTGTCCATTGGCCAACCACTGCAGTTTGCCATTTCCTTCTCCTTTCCTCATTCTTCTGCAGATGAGGAAACAGAGGCAAACAGGGTTAAATGATTTGCCTAGAGTCACAAAGCTAGTAAGTATCTGAGGCTGTATTTGAACTCAGGTCTTCCTGACTCCAGGCCCAGTTTTATCCACTATACCAACTAGCTACTCCAATGAAATGGAGTTCAATGATATGAGTTCAAATCCAGACTTGGTTACTTATTCCCTATATGAGTCCTTTCACTCTTTGGACCTTCCACCTCAGGTGCATGAGAAAGGTGCAACATGAAAGATGAGGACCAAACTGCTTAAGGATGGGTGAACAAGCTTTCCATGGGTGCTACCACTGTCAGCTGACCCTGACCTTAGGCCCCTTCCTTGGCTCTAGGCTGAACTGATGGTGGCTTGCTACACTTGCCAATGAAATGGCCCCTTTCAGTTCTAAATGTTTATTTTTCCTCCCAGGGACCCAAATGGTGCAGACCTTATTCACTGGCCAGTCTATGACCAGAAGGAAGAGTACTTGCAGCTGAATTTGCAGCTGTCTGTGGGAAAGAGCCTGAGGAAGGATAAGTGGAAATTCTGGACCAAGACCTTGCCTGAGAAGATGAAGCGATCACAGCCAGAAAATGTCCGGGTGGAGTTGTGATCTCTTAGCACAACCGTTTTTGCAATAGTTGCAGACTAATGACACCCAATCACTTCTTTTGAGTAGTTCCTTGGCCTCAGCTAAAGGACATTGCAATTTTGAGTGAAATACTTTGACTCTCACTCATTACTGCTATGGGAGAGGAATTTAAATGATAGTTAGAAGGAAAAAAGCATTTATCGAATGCTTTTTCTGTGCCAGCCAACTAAGAAACAATTTTACAAATGTCATCTTATTTGAAAGGGATCTTCCAATTCTGAGTCAGTGGGAATCTGATGAGACCAGCCATTCCACCCTCTCTCTAGAGGAAAAAATCCCTAGTTAATTTCATCGAATTATAGTTGAGATGGTTTCATTTTCTGTCATTCTGTCTTTAGGGTACTTGGTAGGGAAAGAATTAATGCTTCATGATTGATTGAATGATTGATTTAGAGCTGGAAGGGTTATTAGCAATCATTCAACAAGAATGAACACCAAGACCCAGAGAAGGGAAAGGACTTGTCCAAGGTGACGCAGACACTAAGTAGCCAGGTCCTCTGACTCCGAATCTAAGTACACTCAGTGTACTTCTTAGTACACTGAGCTGCTGCGAGGAACTCGGGAAATTATTGAATGTCGCTATCCTGCTTTATCAGTTAGCCAGCATTTTCTCAACAACATTTCTGCAAGGAGAAAACATGGTACACTGAGGGTCCTGAAAACAAAACTTCATGATAATCCTGCGAGTCAAGTGATTCCTTATTTGCAAAGGAGTTTCTTTTATACAGAAAAAAAAACCAGCAAAATCAAAGGAAATGCTTCCTCTTCTCTGTTTGATTATGCTTACAAGATATTTCACAGTAACAAAATATTTTACTAACAACATATGTGCAGAGATGTGCTGGTCAATGTTTAACAATCAGCTCTCTGAAAAACCCACAAGACATACTTTAAAGTTATATTATTCACATTATTTACATCACCTTAGTAAGTTTAGAAATCAACAAAACAATGGCCCAAACCCTAATTTGTAGTGGATGCCAATTCTGAGGTGTAAATTTATGCTGAAAATTTAACAACCAGCTCTGGCACAAGTCCCTGGGATACAGGGATATATGGCAGTAAAACATTCTCTTCATTAAGAAAAATCAAATATTAGCTGTTAAAAACCTTTTTGTCACTAAGAAGCTTCTGATTAAGAAAATGAGGCATAGTTGATATAGGATTCAGATAATTAAGGCAGGAAACTGGTGATGTAGAGTGTAAGGGTAGCTAGGTGGCTGGGTCACCTCACATCTGGACTTTAAAATAGCCTGCAGTCCAGTTTCTCTTGCTTCAGTTTTCTTCCCACTCCAGCCCATTCTCCATTCAAATCTGACCACGTCACCCCTTATGTGATAAACTGTAGTGATTTCCTTTACTTCTAGGATCAAATATTAAACCCTTTGTCTGGCTTTTAAAGACTTTCAGAATTTGAACCCTCCCCACCTTTTCCTGTCCTTTGCTCCCTCTCATGTACTCTGTGGTTCAGTGACTTGGACCTCCTTGGTATTCCTGGAGCAAGACACTGTATCTCTGGGCACTGGGTACTCTCTCTGGCTGCCCCCATGCCTGGAACCCTCTCCTTCCTCCTCTGCCCCTCAGGGGTTTCCTTCAGGGCTCAGCTAAAATCTCACCCTATGCCAGAAGCCTTTGCTAAGTGTCCCTTAAAGCTGGTGCCTTCTCACTATTGACCATCCCCCAGTTTGCCTTGTGTATATGTTGTTTATCCGTAGGTGTTTGCAGCTTGTCTCCCTTCATTAGATTGTAAGCTCCCAGAGCACAGTTTTTTACCTCTCTTTGCATCCCCAGTGCTTGAGTGCCTGGTGCCTGGTGCCTGGTGCCTGGTGTGCCCTTCGGAAATATTTGACTTGTCACCCACCAGCTATATCGTGTTGGAATGTCTTTTTCCTTATGAACTGGGTGGGAATAATAAAAATGACACCACCAACCTCCTAGAGTTATTGTGAACCCTAGAGAGTATCGAGGCTGGGCAAAAGCTTAAAGAATATCTGATCCAGGAGCAGCTAGGTGGTACAGTGGATAGGCGCCTTCCCTGGAGTCAGGAGGACCTGAGTTCAAATCCAGCCTCAGATACTTTCTAGTAGTGTGACCCTGGGCAAGTCACTTAACAGGATTGCTTTAAAAAAAAAAAAAAAGAATGTCTAGTCCAATTCACTCATTGTACCACAAAGGATTTAAGGGCCCAGAAAGTGTGCTTCACCAAAAGTCACACAGCTAAGAAGAGGTTGTGCAGGGGCTCCATCTCAGGTCTTTAGACTCCAAGTCCTTCACCCTTGAATATGTCATCCGAATCAAGCTTCACTCTCTTCAGACTTAAGCAACATCATCATTACAAGACTCTTATAGTTTGCTAGGAAAATAGAAAGAATAACAAAGAAGAATGCTCTGTGTTTTGTATCCTGTTTGGATGGATTTTTATTAACTATAGTTAATTATAATAATAGCTAAAATTTATATTGTGCCTACTATGTGCCAACCACAATACTATGCACGTTGCAACTCTTATCTCATCTGATCATCACGCTAACCCTGTGAGGGAGGTGCTATTATTGTCCCCATTTTAGAAATGATGAAACTGAGGTAGACAGAGGTGAAGTGACATGCCCAGAGTCATACAGCTAGCTGGCTACATTGTTCAAATGCCAAATGTAGGTTTGCCTAGAAGACTGTTTTACAGAGAACTCATGCAAGGCATGTGCTCATGTGGAGGTCAGAAAAAGTGATACAAGGACACTGTCAAGGTCTCTCTGAGGAACTTTGGAATTGATTTCATGGTGTGAGAGACACTGGCAAAGTACCCCCCAGCATGGTGTGGCCACATCAAAGAAGGTACTGTGCTCTATGACTGAAGCGAATTGCAATAATTCAAAAGAAAGCTGAAATACGCGGATTTAGAGACATCTCCACTCCAAATGTTCATATGGACTATTTGTGCCCAACCTGTGGTGGAGCCTTCTGAGCTCCTATTGATCTGCTCAGCCACAGACAGATATACCGTACCTTGACTCCAACATATTAATGTCATTTTGGTCCTCTTCAAGAACAAAGGACAACGACCAACCAACCGAGTGTCTGAATCAGGATTTGAACTCAGGTCTTCCTGATTCCAAGTGTTCCATTCATCCACTGCACCATAGAACTTGATGTCTCTTGGAAGGTTCCCTTTTCTCTTTCCAAGCAGATGTAGTTCTAGCTGCATTCCAGCTTGGAGGAAGCTGGTTGAGATGGATTCATTTAAGGGCATCCAGTCCCAGTTCCTGGAACAGCTATTGAAACAGGCTCCCGCTGCTCTGGGGACAATTCTTGGCACGATATCAATGGAAAGCAAATGACCCAGGGTAGGTTCTGAGAGGCACGTCATTTGTTTGTTGAAGAACTTATGTTGGCTGGGCAGCTAGGTGGCACAGTGGATAGAGCACTGGCCCTGAAGTCAGGAGGACCTGAGTTCAAATCTAGCCTCAGACCAAACTCTTGACACCTACTGGCTGTGTGACCCTGGGCAAGTCACTTAACCCCAATTGCCTAAAAAAGACAAAAAACAACTTATGTTGGCAGCTCCCATTCTTCATTGGGTGAAGACTGTCTGGGTCATAGAACTGCAGAATTGGAAGGGCCCACAGAGACCACGGGTCCAACTTGGACCTAAACAAGAGTCCTGTCCTGTGGTTGTTTTTTGTCCTTCCTTCTCAAAGAGGACCATGACATCAGGAAGGTGGTGCTGTGATGTGCAAGTGAATTGAATTTAAGTGAGGGAAAGCTGTACAAAGTCACCAGCCTCACTTTCTCCTCCAGAGCCATCTGGGTCCAGTAGCAAGATATAAATCAAGATGACTGGAGATGTCCCCAGATGAAGTGAGAGACCTTGGCCTTTTTAAGCTAAGGTCTTTCCCAGGCCTCAGTTATGACTGAGGCAACCCCTATTCAATGATTAAAGCTAGGTAAGAAATGAGGTAAAGAATGGCCTCTTTTACTTAGCGTCAAAATAAAAAATCAGTGTGGGAGGGAAAGACCCTCAGGAGGGTTTCTGGCCAAAATAGAAACAGTGGCTATGTACATTCACTCTGAGCCATCAAGATTCAAACAGTGACTAAGTGAAGGCATGTTTGTGTGTGTGTGTGTGTGTGTGTGTGTGTGTGCACATGTACGTATATATGTGATTTTCCTACATTATCAAAGAGACTAAAATGACATCACTATGTTAGAGTCGTGTTACAGTATGTCTGACTATGGCTTATCAAACCAATATGAGTTGCAATGCTCTACCAGAGGTGGGGCACAAAAAGTCCATGTAAACTTTTGGGGTGGATTCCCTAAATTTGCATATCTCATGTTTCTTTTGAGTTTCTTCAATTCTGCTTTGCTCCTAGAGCACAGCACCTTCTCTGATGAGGGCAGGCCTTGCTGGGCAGTCCTGTGCCAGTGTCTCCCATGTCATGCAATCAATTCCAAAGCTCTGAAGTGAGACCTTGACACTGTCCTTGTATCTTTTTTTCTGACCACCACGTGAACACTTGTTCTGTGTGTGAGTTCTCCATAAAATAGTCTTTTAAACAATTGTACATTTGGCATTGGAATAATGCAGTCAGCTGATCAGAGTTATGCTCTCTCCAGTAGGGAAGGGAAGGAAAGGGAGAGAAGGAGAGGGAAGAGGGACAGTAGGTTAGGGGAGGGGGAGGGAAGGTAAAGGAAAGGGAAGCAAAGGGAAGGGAATGGAAGGGAGAAGAAAGATAGGAGCTGTATTGCCCAACTGAAACTGACCAGTCCAGGTCCCTAGTGGGCAGCTTGGACTACTCCCAGGTTGTTGTTTGTGCTTTATTCACAAAGAAGACTATGACATCTGCGAGGTGATGCCATGGCTTACAAGCAAATTGGATTTAAGTGAGGAAGGGCTGGACAAAGCCACCAGCCTCACCTTCTCCTCCAGAGCCATCTGGGTCCAGTATCATGACATAGATCAC